TTTTTTTTTTTTTTTTTTTTTTTTGGTACTGGGGATTGAACTCGGGTCCTTGTGCTTGCAAGGTAGGCCACGGAATTGCTGAGCTAAATCTCCGGCCCCGCATCTCATATCCTTAAAATAGATTTTCATACATATTTCCCAGGTTTGTGCAATACAAGTTAGAAAACTATTGTTATCCTTTTGAATCTGTGAGCTGTCTTTGATGTAGTCAGATTTGTACTTGATTGCCTATAGTTTGTTGAACTCTGACTCTGTGCATTTTCATGGGTAGAAGTATTGCCTTTCAAGCTGTCAGCTAAATCTGCAGCTCGATTTGGGTCTGATCTCTGAGGAGATGAATTTTAGGGCTGCCATCAGAGCTTGCCAGCTTCTTAGCTATGATTTGAGCTGCACGGTTAAAATGTCGTCTTGCAATGTTCCTTTTGGAAAGTGCTAGCACATTCACTTATCATTCTGTGTCATATTCCTTTTATGCCATTTGGTTCCCTAACTTCATCATAGAAAAACACAGATATAATTTAATTAATCATGATATCACCTCAAGTGTTGAATTACTAGTAGACTATATTTTCCATGGCAGGGCACTCTGTACTGCGTTCAAGGCCAAAGAGAATCGGACCAATCCCAGATTTCCCCGTTACCTGAAACCAACTCCTTTTGCCAAATGTCTTATCAGTCACATTCAGTCAAGGAAACGAGACACTACAATGCAGGTGTTGAATAGCTGAGTAAGTAAAAGGAGAGTGCAAGATAGTCCAGAAAAAACAGATCTAGCAGGCAGCTGCTACTGGGAAACTGAGGGGAAATTTGGAGTTTTAGAACCTTAGAAAAAGCAGACAGAAGGAGCAGTGACTACAGGGACATGACAGAAAGGAGCAGTATATTCAGGGCCCAGCAGGACAGTGCGGGCCAGGCGTCTGGTAAGGGAGGGGGTCCATGAGGAAAGGCTGGGAAATGAGCAGAGCCACGCCGTATGGGATTTTGTAGACTCAGGAAAGGTGTTTGGATTTTATTTTAAATGCATTCACGCACACTTCCCTCTTCCTGAATTCATCTTTGGGGTCTCAGGTTATCACAAAGCAACTTACCTTACACAGGTATTATCATATGGGGTTGTAATTGCCTGCTTCCTCATCCACACTCAGGAGTATAATGTGAGCACCGTGAGGAGAGAGAATTTGTTTCCTTGGTAGCATTTCCTGGCATAGCAACTTAGAACCTCACTTTGCTCTCCTTATATATGTATGTATTGGGTGAAATATGAAATAATTAAAGAACAAACTGTCTACCTGTGGCAAGTGAGCAATTTCAAATATTCCGTCCTACTTTGTACAACTTGTAAGTTCAGTCATCTCCTCCACTAGACGGAACTCTGAGAACTGAGAGAATTCTTCGGCAGCATCTTTCCAGTGCCTGACATTCAGTAAATGTGCACTGCATACGCGAACGCATGAAAGAAATGAGGAAGAAAGGAAAGAAAGAAGGCTGGAAAGGAGGCAGGAAAGGGAGGAGGAAAGACAGGAAGGTCGAAAAGGAAGGGTCGAGGGGAGGGAGAACAGAAGGAGGGGAGGAAGAGTTGTGCAGCCAAACGTACGTGGTGCCATCTGTACTTAGGTGGAACCTGAGCTCCTTGGGTTGAGAATGAGGTAAAATAAATTTGCAGGGTGAGACGTCAGGGCAAAGACGGCTGCAATATCAGTTCATATATAGAAAGACCCTTACATTTCATGCAGGAGGTAGGAGAAAAATAGATCATAGTGAAACAAGGAAAAGAACATTCCCTCCTCTTTCCCTTATGCATTCCTCCCTTTTCCCCTATTCTTTCATTTCTTTTAAAATATGAGTCAGCAATGTGCCACAGAGAAGCCAAGTTAGGTGAGCACGGAAGATGGGTGACCAGTAGGTTTTGTAACCAGGAGTTCACTGCCATGGGGAAAGAGTGGCTGGGACAGGCAGTGGGTGGAAGCCAGCTACAGAGAATGCACAGCATGTTCAGATTTACTTGGGCTCCAGAAAGAAGACAGAGCTTAATTCTGATAGTTTTACAAGAGTATAATCATAATGGAAGGGAATATTATAGGGGAAAGAATAGACTTTAGAGAAAAATCCCAAGAAAGTATTTGAAGACTGATTTTTACTACTGGGACAAAACTCTGAGGGCTGGAGTTGAATGTAGATGCAGAAGGCTGAGGGAGCTCTTTTCCAGTCCTCATTCCTGAGCTGTATCAAGGTTGTGACCTGAGGGAGAGCGCCAGGAGGTCAGGCAGGAGACCCGAATAGGATGGGGTGGCCAAGAAAACACTGCCAGATGAGTTTCCCATCTGCTGGGTCATGCATTAGAACAGAGAGACACTTGGAAGGATCCTGGACTGAGGATTTGTTCAGTATCTTTGGCAAAAACAAACAAGACCTGTGGAAGGAAACAAGTTGCTAAAGTAATAGCTCACAGGGCTGGACTAGATGGGAAGGAAATAAATGGGGAGAGGTGGCTTTAAGGGACAAGATATAGAAGTCATGAGACTGCAGGTTTGAGGTCTAAGACAAGATATAGGGATACACACCTGGGCATGCGAATATGTCCACACACCCACACACCCTTACACCCTTCCTTAGGTGTGTGCCACAGGGTATCACTGAATATCATCAGATTCAGATTTCCAAAATACTCAGTGAGGTGGTGGAAGGAGACTAAATCATTATATTTTATTTTCCTTTTCATCGATCTGGAGAGGGTGGCAAGGGTATGAGAAGAAACAAGTCACTAGTTGAAACCACAGAAATATGGGAAGAATGACTTTGAAAGTGTATAATAATATAGTATCACATTTCTCACTCAGATAGGAGACAGACTATGAAGTAAACACAAAACAAAAATAAACACCTAAGCAACTCTGTGGGTTCCTGAGATTGAGAATAAACAGTCCTGTAACTGAGCACAGGCTTTTAAATAGAGGGTCAATCTAGAGAAATTGTCATTTGTACCACAAATTTGTAATTACATCATTAAATCACAATCAAGGGTGTTAAAAGGAATAATTAGGAATGTGTTGTAGAATTTGCGCACTCATAAGAAAAATTTTATGGGAGGGAAAAAATCCTAAGCATTCACTGTGAGGAAGTCTCACAAGACTTTTGAAAACCAAGTATTTCAGCTCATGAGGCTTTTATTTGCAAGCACAGCCTGAGAGATTTTCATTTACCTTAATTCGAAGACTGGCTGAGAATCTTGCCTTCCTCATCTACAGCCTAACATGTTCGAAGGAAAACAGGTAGTAAAATGGCCAAGTGGGTTCCCAAGGGATAAGTGCTAAGTTTATTTTTATCTTTTGCTAAGGAATCAGTTCCAAGCTTCAGTTTGAAATCCTGTCAGGAGCTTCCTTTGGATTTTTCAAGATCAATGCAGACACTGGAGAGGTCGTGACAGCCACCACACTTGACAGAGAAGTTCAGGATGTCTTTACTCTTCAAGGTAAGGGATCCTCCTGTCCCAGTGTATTTGAGAGGAAAAAAAACCCAAAAAAACAGAAAGGTCCACAGAGAAAATTAACATTCAGTTGAAGTGTCTTTGAATAGTACTGACCAAGTGTTGCTCGGCTAGCTTCGTCTGCTGCTGTTAGAGAGAAACATTTTCAACCCATGCCATCTTTATGTTCCACGTCAGTCCTGGTACGAGATGGGGGAGTCCCTTCATTGTCCTGCACCACAACAATTCTCTGCACCGTTGAAGATGAAAACGATCATGCACCAGAGTTTCTCGGCACCAATCAGTACATTGAGGTTCTGGAAAACCAAGAACCCAAGGTTGTCTACACTGTTTTGGCCTCTGATAGGGATGCTGGCAACAATGGAGCTGTCAGGTATCACATAATCGGTGAGTATTTTCTAATTAAAATTTCCCCCAGGGTTCCGACTGAGTCAGTGCATTCTATATGTCACTTCTTCTGTACTTGTTGGCATATATTGGTGAGTTTTCCATTGCTGGGGCAAAATGTTTGATGCCTGCAACTTAAATGAGGAGAAGTTTATTTTAGCTCACAGTTTCGTAGGTTCCAGTCCATGGATGGCTGGCTCCCAGGCAGAAACATCGTGGCAGAGGGTTATGCCAAAGGAAAGCTCCTCATCTCATGACATCATGGAGCAGAGAAGAGGGCAAGAGCCAGAAGGAAAGGGGCCAGGGACCAGACATGGTCCCCCCAAGTCACACATCCGGGACCAGACATGGTCCCCTCAAGTCACACATCCAATACAAAGGCAGCTTGTAAAACCTTTACTGGGTGTCTTCGTCCTCCTTGCCCACCAGACCTGGCACTGTACAACTTCTGGTTCTTCCCAAAGATAAAAGGACCATGAAACTGAAATGTTTTGAATAGATTCAGGATGGTAAGGAAACCATGGTAGCACAACTAAAGATACTCCCCAAAGAGGACTTTCAGAGCTGCTTCAGAAAGTGTAAGAATGGTGAGATACGGATGTTCAAAGCTGTGGGAAATAGTTTGCAGGAGGCCAATGGCAGTGTGTCTTTTACTAGATAATAAATTTTAAAAATTAAACATTAACCATATTTTCCCATAATACTGCATAACTCCTGTTTCTTATTCCTGCCTCCTGTTATTTACTTCAAATAAAACATATACATTCAAAGGTTCTCAAGAGGAAAAATACGGGAATATAAACAGTTACAGATGCACACAAAAAATTCACACTGTTGCAAATTAATGAAAGCGAGTGCCCTAGGTGTGCCCCGACTCGGTTAAGATGCACTTGAATGACGTTGCATGCTGCGTTAGCCCACGTCCCGTTGCTGAGACACAGCTTCGAGGAGGACAGGAGTGAGCCGGCTTGTGGTGTCACGGCAGCCTGGCCCCAGAGCAGGGGCATCGCGGCAGAAGGGCAGGGTGGAGCAAGGCCGCTGAGCTCGTGGGGCTGGGCAGCAGAAAAGGGAACAGTGCCAGGGACGAAGGGTGAGGCCTCACTGCCACCGGGCACACAGACGCACTCAGGGTGGAGCTTTACTCCTCGGCTGTTCGTTCCTTAATCCAGTGATGCTAACCTTTCGGGAATAACGGGCCTAAGTCGCTTCTTTGTTTGGTAGAAGCTTGATATGGGTAGGGACTTTATCACGCTCTATCCCCAGTACTTACGGAAGTGCTAGGGTGTGACTGTAAGGAAACAGCTCCTACTGAATGGGCAGTGGTTGTGCGCAGCACTAGCGAAGTGGTACCCTTTCAATCCCCTCAGTGCATTTTCAATCATTGTGACAGATGGAAACACGGACGAGTCCTTTGTTATTGACGAAACGTCAGGAGAACTGGCAACCACTCGTGCCCTGGACCGAGAGCAAGTCAGCAGCTTCAGACTCACCGTGCGGTGCTCCGACCTGGGAGACCCCCCTCGGAGCACCGCCGTACAGCTGCCGGTTAGGGTTTTGGATGACAATGACCACAGCCCTGCATTTTCCACGCTTCGTTACCAGCCCTTGGTGAGAGAGGACGCTGCCGTGGGAACCGTAGTCCTGGTGCTGTCTGCTGTGGACAAGGACGAAGGCCTGAACGGACAGACTGAGTATTTCCTGGTGGACGAGTCTTCCGGGGCGTTCACCATTAACCCTGCGACGGGCGTGCTGAGAACTAGCCGTGCCCTCGACCGGGAAGCCCGGGCCCTGTACACATTTCAGGCCGTGGCCAGAGACTGCAGCACGGCCGGCTCCAGAAGCAGCACAGTAACTGTGACAGTGTTGGTCACAGACGTGAATGACAACGACCCAGCTTGGGAGCAGAATCCCATCCACGTCTTTCTCTCTTCCCAGCTGCCTGCAAATCACACCGTTGCTATCCTGAGAGCCAGCGACCCGGATGCAGGGCCCAGCGGAATGGTGACTTTTAGTTTTACAGATGCCCAGTCAGTGTTTTCTATTGATGAAGACACAGGAGAAATTAAGCTTCTGCAAAATCCAACTTCAGAATATTTTCCTGCCTGGTTGTGGTTAAGAGTCACAGACCAAGGGGTCCCAGCCAGGACAACCCCTGGTCTCTTGATCGTTCACGCGGAAGGTGAAGATGTAAAGATTTCCTTCAGCCAGCATCTGTACGAGGGACTTGTGACTGAAAACTGTGAGGCAGGTAAGTGTCCTTCCAGTCTCCTTGTTCACTGACTCTGTGTTTGGCAGGAGAGCGATGTTGTATATTCGGGAATAAACTTTTGAGTTCAGCCAGTTCTTGGTACTGGACGGTTGTGATCAATAGGGTCCTGCTAGTTCGCTTTTTCAACACTTCAGCAAAACACCCTAGGAAGTTTGCTAATGAAGAGAAGTTCATTCTGGTTCACAGTTCTGGAGGTGCCTGGGTAATATCCGCCAGCCACTTGCTCTGGGCCTCTGTGGAGGAGGCCAGCACCTCATGACGAGCGTGTCCTAGAGCAAAGTGCTCAGCGCATAAGCCAGCCTCACCCCCTCGAGGGCCTGCTTCCAAAGGCTCCTGCCTTCCCCCATAGTGCTGCCCAGGGCCAAGCCTGCCTGCCTGCCTGCCTGCCTTCCTTCCTTCCTTCCTGCCTTCCTTCCTTCCTTCCTTCCTTTCTTTCTTCCTTCCTTTATTGTTCTCATTGAGTTTTTTTTTGGTACATTTTAGGTAGACAGTACAGTTAAATTCATCACTGGGATCTTGTACCTTTACATGACAGGTCTTGGTTCTCATTTTATCTCCTTGTCCCTGCCCTCCCTTCACCCCCCCTCCCTTCCCTATTTACAAATACTTTATTCCCATTTTTTCATTTTCTCATGTTTTTTTTCTTTTCCCTTATTTCCTTTCCCCTACCCTTCCCACTTTCCCTACACCTTTAGCCCTTTTCTGCCTATTTCACATTGTCAATTATATCATTAGGATCTTATGTACCATTATAGTTTTTACACCAGAGAAACTGTTTGGTATTTATACATGTGTGATTTATTTATTTCACTTGGAAGTATATCCTCAATATGTATCCATTTTCCTATGAATGAATCTACTTTCTCATTCTTTATGGCTGAGTATTATTCCATTTTATAGAAAAACCACATCTTCTTTATCCAGTTTCCAATTGATGGGCAAATGGGCTGTTTCCAAGATTTAGCTCTTACAAACTGTGCTGCTATAAACATGGGTGCACATACATCACTGTGATATGATTCTTTTAATTCTTTTGGAAAGATAGCCAGCAGAGGGATGGCTGAGGTTCAAATGGAACCTCTAGTCCCAGCTCTTTGAAGTATCTCCATATTGATTTCCATAGTGGTTGCACCAGTCTGCACTCCCACCAACAATAGAGAAGGGTTCCTTTCTCCCCACAGCTCTGCCAACATTTGTTATTGAGTGATTTCTTGATAGCAGCCATTCTTTGTGGGGTGAGGTGGAATCTCTGTTGTTTTCATCTGCATCTCTCGAATGACCAGTGATGTGAAACATTTTTTCATGTATTTCCTTGATGCTTTTACTTCTTTGTCTGAGAAATGTCTGTTCATTTCAGATGCCCATTTATGAATTGTGTCTTTATATTGGGGGGGGCTGATTTTTTCTAGTTCTTTATATATTCTAGATAATAGTCCTTTGTCTGAGGAGCAGCTGGTAAAACCTGCCAAAGGTTAAAACTAGACCCTTATCTTTCACCATGCACTAAACTGAAATCCAAATGGATTAAAGATCTAAATATTAAAAAAGAGTCACTAAATTTGCTGGAAAATTGGTATTTCAGGCTGCACAGAGCTTTTCCTGGAGCACAGTTTCAGACAGACTGCCAGATTGTAACACAGACCACAGAAAGTGACCTTTCCTGATTTCTTTTTAATTCCAGTGGTATTAAAAATTGCAAATCCATTGATCAATGTCAGAATAGTCTTGATATATGTTATTAAATATCACTTTACAGCTGCTAGAAAGATTTGCACTGCCCCAAGCATGCCTGTCAGTTTAATCTGTATTTACAAATGAAAAATATCCACCTAATGGAAGCTTAGATTTTCTGTAAGTTACTCAGAAACCCTATTGATAGGTACCACCTGGCATTATTTTTGGTATTATCATAAATTATTCTCATTTCACACTGCCTTCAACATTTATATATTCTTAAGAAAACAAAAGGTTAAAACCAGTAACTCCCATGTATTTATCTTTAGTCTTTTTGTTGTCAGAGGGGCCACAGGTTTAGATTTGACTCGCACTGCAGTTTATTAACAAAACTGAACTTAACAGCCCTGTGCATGGCAGAGGCTGCCTTCATCGGGGTGACAGGTTGTCTGAGCATCCCCCACTTCTGCTCCCCCTGCTTCTCCACCCCACACCCACATTTTTCAAACTGAACTAAAAAACATCTTTTTTTTTTTAAGCTAAGGATAAGCCACTCACTGCCCACAGTGTTTAAATCAGCTAAATGAATTAAAGGAGCCATTTAGAAGCCAGCTAGGATTTATTTCTTCTGTCTCACTTCCAACACTGTGGTTTTCCAGACAAGGGTGAACCAACAGCTTCCCTCCTCAGTGTGGGCTATCGCAGGTTCAGGCATCTCTTTGAGATACTCCGAGGGGAAAAATCAAAATTATTGAATTATATTGGTACCTTTATTAAAAGTAAGTAGAAAAGCAGAAAAGTAGGTGGAACAGTTGAGGCCAGATTAAAACATGATGTCTCATGAGGGCTGTCTAACTAGTCAGATATATGGGATCTGGTACAAAAATAAATTAGGCCCTGACAATTAGAGGTCAACCTCTTCCTTCAACACTGTTGCGGTTGATCTGGTGAATTCTGGTTCCTGCTCTAACTAGACCAGGTGCATGCATGTCGGTGTGTAGACGTGTGACAGGGTTGGTGCAGCCCCACAGGTCAGCCGCGGTCATGGCTCTTGTGCTCACGAGTGGCACGTTCTCCTTCTGACGTAAAGGGCTGATGGGAAGGGCTTCCTCACAGGGCCACTGTGAGGGTTAGACTAAGGCATTGGAGGATACTGGTCATTGCTTTTGTTACTATTGCTGTTTTCCGTCGGTCGAAAATTCTTATTTGAATTCTGTAAAGTTAGCTGGGTATAAATTCCTACCAGAGCAAGCAGTTATCGTGTAACAATTATGTGACAATGAGGAAATACTTGCAGATTTTAAAGTGCTAACATCTGTTTCATTTTCTGTCCAAACCAGATAAAATTATACTCTCCAAGGTAATGAATTTCTCCATAAACATGGAATTAGGTGGCTCCATGTCATCAACAATTTTGAAACAATGCCCAACATATACATTTTTATAATAATGAAAAGAGGGAAGCGAATGTTCTCTGTCACCAGTGTGTTGTTACTTAGGGCCGGTCTCAGGTTTAGAGTGAAAGTCATTGGGGTAAATACCGTCTTGGCCATTTACAACAATATAGAATTTCACTGCCTCATGTGAAAGGCAAGTTCTGATTTCAAGAGAGCTCTGAAGGAGAAAAGCCTTAGGTGGTTTCTAAAAAGAAGAAATATGTACCTCATAAGGCAGCTTTTAATCTTTGAGAATTCACCCTCATCCCAGAGCTGGGCCTCAGCCATGGAAGTTCAAGGATTCCTCCCCTGGGGGTGGGACTTGTTAGCCATTGTGAAAGGGACCGATACAGATGTCATGATGATGCCGTGCTGCCCATTTTAACTTTTTTATTTGGTAAACTATGATTGCTATGCAGATTATAACACTCATGTCGAAATGACCAGGAAAAAAGATACAGAAAGCCAAACTGTAATCAGAAAGTTGTTGCTAACTCTAAGCAATTAAGAGTAGAATGTGACTCGAGTGTTAAATGTCATCCACCTGCAACCCCTTTCCTCCAGCAGAGCTTTCAGAGCACTGCCAAGAGGGACTTCGGATGCTGCTGCTGACAGCCCGAGATTGTCATCACTCAGCAGCTCCCTTTGGTTTACACCTTCCTTGCTAGGCTCCTCAAGTCCTCAGCCAAGGCTTCTGCCCTTGAGCCATTTATGCATAACTATGTTCTAAACCATTAGATTTTGTGTATAGCTGCATGAGTGGCTTTTCTTTGCTGAGACACAGTATTTGACACCCGCAGCTTAAAGCTCATGGTTTCAGGGGGTCCAGTCCATGGTCAGCTGGCTCCAAAGCAGAAGCACATGATGAAAGGGGACAGCAAAAGAAAGCTGCTCAGGAAGGGAACAATGCCAGAGAGGAAGTCAGGAGGGACCAGATGCATTCCACAAGGTCACACCCCCACAACGCACCCAGAAGTGTGTTGTCCTAATCTCCTGGGCATTTCGTAGTCCAGTCAAGTTGTGTATCAGGATTAATGGTTACAAGCTGTAACAGGGTTAATATTTTTGAACTCTGTTAAAACTTTTTTCTCTATCGCTTATCATGGATAAAAAATGCCCGCTCTACAAGGGGCATCCATTTGTTGTGGATAGCATTAGGATTCTGACAAGAAGAAAGCAAACATAGTATTTCATCTTTGACAAAAAAAATATGTGGCCTTCATTATAATCCAGTATTGTTCACAAGGAAGCCTGATCCTTGGAAATAAGAGAAACCTCTTCTATCTTGCTGCTGGGGAATATGGGAAGGACAGAAGAGAAAAAGCACAGAAACAAGGGGTTGGCCCTCTCGTCCGAGCTGCCCCTTTCTTGGAAGCTGTAATTCAGGAGAGTCCAGTGAGCTAGACTAAAAGGAAAACTAAGCAGAAGATACTTTGGGACTATCAGAGGACACTGTCTCATAAAATGACCCTTTCATATCACAGGACAAGGGGCAGAGGCAGGCAAGTAAAATGGGCAAGGTGCTGGGCAGGGAGAAGGCGCGGGGCAGTGTCCCAGCCTCGTCTGACTCGTGCTCACTCGTCGATGCAGTCTGACAACAGTACAGCTGGCTGGCCTGCTGTGAGGACCTCTGCTGCGGTGATGACATGACCTCACTCCCAAATTTTCGGGTAGGCGGGGTTGGGTAGCACTCTCAAGGCTACCTGTATCATACAGGGGTGACACTGGGCCAGGTGGGCATGTGTGGGCATGTGTGGGTAAGACAGACCAGGCTCACTGCTGAACTCGGAGAGCCAGCGGACAGCACAGAAAGGTCCCGCCTTACGGCTGCAGTGAACCTTTCGCAGGAGCAGCAGGAGGGAGAAAACT